GTGATGATCAAACAGGAAGTTCTAATACTAGGTCTTCATGTCCTGCAATCCATTACCTTCCCCTCCTTTTTGGGGAGAGACAGCCCACTTTGGATGCTCTTTTTTGAGAGACTTGTGCTTCCATTGCAGCTGCCCAGACTGGGTCCTGTCCATTCTGGCAGTCATGTGAGATATTTCTGGGCCCTTTTGTCAGTGTTTCTCTCACAGAGTCATGAAATAATACATGTAAGTGAGCTGTTCAGCACCTATTAGGCTGAAGTTGAGACTTGCTGCAGAGTGAGAACATGGAGGGTTTGCTCTCCTCTACACAGTAGATCTAGAAACTCAGTCATACCATATAACTGAGGTGGTTGTTTTCTCAGGAAAATTGTTTCATTTTCTTTTGTTTTGTGTTTGTGATGATTATTTGGCTTTGTACTTTTGGGCTTTGAGGAACGGTTTTGTTTTCCAGAGTGACCTCAAGCTATAAATGGCCACATTGCACAATGGCCAATTTTATAAGTGAGGATCATAGTGAAGGTTTTGTGGATATGTGACTAAGCACAAAGAGAAACTAATACGTGGAATCCTTGAAAATTTGGCACAACCAGTTAATCTACAATAGTAATATGTATTTATGTTATTTGCATGTATGTATGCACTATTAATTGCAAGTATGTATGAAATGTTATCTTTACACATCCTTTGTCAAAAGGCATTAATATTAAATCGGCATTTTCATTATAAAATTATAGGAAAGTTTTTAAATAATAAAATGTTGAAAAATATATATTCCAGTAACCAGCAAAATATATTTACATTTCATATTTTGGTGTACTCTTTCCCATATTTTCCCCCATGTATAATATTTTTTAAATAGTCATGATCATGTTATATACACATATGTCATTACACAAAAGTTTATAAACCCGAGGATTTATTTTTAAGTTAGAAGTCTAGAAAGTACAATTACCTGGTCAAAAGTTTTGGATATTTTTTTAGGCTTTATTGCCATCCTGGATTTCATGTTGTTGTTCCGAGTTTCACTCTCATTAGCAATATATGAAAGTACTAGATAAATTGCACTCTAACCCAGTCAGCATTCGTTCAAGAAACATATATCGCCCAGCTCCTATTTATCTAGACCCTGGAGATGTAATGGTGAGCAGTATCGTACATTTCGATTTTCTTCATGGAATTTACAGTACAGTTTGGAGACAGATGTCAATCACATAATTGCACAAATAAATGTGAAATTCAAATCATGAATTATAAAGCAAACTACTAATACTCGTTAACCTCCATGGTGGGTACATAGATGTAGGTTGTATTATTTCCTGTAACTTTTAATGTATTAAAACCATTTCAAAATGAAAGAATTTTGATGTTTTAAAAATGAGCAATGCCTATGAAGAATGCTGCCATAAAAGTGTTCAGAGGAGGAATCTGAACTCATCTGAGGTGTCAGGGAAGTGCCCCAGAGGAAGAGTTGATGGAGCTGAACTTAAGGAGGAGGTGGAGTTAAGTATGCAAAGATGTATGCATGTGGGTGTGTGCGCACAGATGGGCAAGGAGGCATCTTTATGCAGGTGAGCATGTTTGAGACAGGGAAGATTAAGGGGACATGATAAATGTGAGAGATTATGGGATATTTTCAGGCAGCTCCCAGTGACCCAGGCTGGGCTACGTGCAGGGGATGGCTTGGGGCAGTAGCAAACCAGGCGCGGCAGGAGAGATGGGGCCCCGCTGCTGCAGGGCGTGTGAATAGTCCACGGCATGTTTCCACATCTGCTGGATTGGAATGGGCACACTGCAGGTGGGATGACCACCTAGGAGACGCCAAGAGGGGCTGAAGTGCTGCTGGCGGTGAAAATAGTACGGAGGGGAAATAAGGGAGATTGTGAAGGCAGCATCTGCAGGAACCTGGCAACTGTTTAGGTGGAATGACAAAGGCAAACGCAGTGTTGATCTGAGCCTCTGAGACAGTTCACATGAGTCATCGAGTCAGGGGTACAAGTACCTTCTGGCTGGAGTTGGTGGAGGAGGGAGAATGACACTAGACCAGTTTAAGCCTACAATATTAGATCTGCAACCTCGGTGAGGATTGCACGGATGGAGATTTATTGGAAATGTGGCCAATGGCAAAGTGGGCAGATCATAGGAGAGATTTTCAAGCACTTTGATTCTAATTTCATGTTATTGTTTTAAATCACAGATTCAGGTCCAAGTATGCAGGATTTGGGTTTAGATACACCATGGTTAATCTTGAAAAACCTAGTTGAAAAGAAAAAATAAACAAAATTGATTTGCATTTTATTTTAGGTTTTTTAAAGCTTCAGGTCAATTGTTCAACTTCCAGAGGCCACATAGTTTAGTGGTTATGGGGGCAGGATCGTGTTCAAACCCCAGCTGGGCACTTGTCAGTATTGTGTTCCTTGTCAATGACTCCATCACTCTGTCTCCACTTCCTCATCTTCAAAGTGGGCTTCCCGTTAAGTAAGTCGTGAGGAGTTCAATGAGTTAATCCTGCGATGTACTAAGAATAGTGCCTGGCACCTGAGAAGAGCACAATGCTATTATGGTTTCTAAAGAGACAACATCAAATAATGTGAAACTAGATACATAGTTACCAATGTTTCTTTGAAATTTAGTGAGAACTGAAAAACACAGTTTTGTATTTTGCTTATACTTCCTTATCAGAAATCAGGTGTGGTCAGGAAGAGCTCACTTAGCCTTATGTCCTCCAGTTTCATCCATGCTGTCACAAATGACACAATTTCCCTCTTTTTTAAAGCTGAATAATATTCTGTTGTATATAGATACCTCATTTTCTTTATCCATTCACTCACTGATGGACCCTTAGGTTGTTTCCATATCTTGGCTAATGTGAATAATGCTGTAGTGAATATGGGAGTGCAGATATCTCTTCAAGACCCTGATTTCATTTCCTTTGGCTGTGTACCCAGAAGTGGGATTCTTGCATCAACTGGATTTGGTCGTTCAATTTTTAATTTTTTGAGGAAACCCCATACTATTTTCCACAGTGGCTGTACCAATTGCATTCCCACCAACGGTGTACAAGGATTCCCCTTTCTCCACATCCTTATCAATACTTGTTATCCCTTGTCTTTTTGATCATAGAAAAAGCAAAACAAAAAAAGTGTTCTTTTTGTTTAAGTGTAAGGGAGCTTGTGGGGGTTGGATGTCTTGTACTGCCTTGCCTGACCTACTTAATTCAAGTCCAGAAGATGTAGTAAGCTAAAATGTAGAATTTAAAAGTAAGTCATTCAGAACATGAAGGTTTTACAGAAGAATTGTCAATCTCTGAAATCCTCTGTATGTCCTCATGACAATTAAGAACCCACCTTTTTACCTTTGTTCTCTTCTTTTCCATGCCACTTATTTTCAGTGAAGAGCATAAATAAATTACAGCATAGAAAAGAAAAGGAACCCTTGATACTTAGAGAGTCAGTAGCCCAGTCAAATTTTACTGAGCGATGGGCAGACTAAGGTGCGAGAATAATTTTTCCACTAATGCACATCTTAGAATTGTGTGACTTTTAAAGGTATATACTACAGAATAAGGAACATATGTCACACAATTCCAATAATCACTTAGATTTTTTTTAATCCTAGCCTTTTAGAAGCATCTACATTCTATTATATTTAGTCACAGTGGATGTGACGCTGTGGTGTTCATGCATTATTCCCCAGATTTTTTCCATTCTCATAGAATCTTTGAAGAAAATCTGTGTACCATAAAGTCATTTTTCAAATTATTAGTTATATCATATGTACATAACAATAGATATTGGCATTCTCTTTAATTTCTTGAGCATTAAACAAAAGGCTAAGAGTATTCTGGTTTGGAACAGTCTTTTTTTGGCATGTGTATTTTTTGTGTGTGTTCACCAGTTGGCAAATCCACAAATTTTCTGTCAATTACAAGATGGTAGCCTTCATCGTTCTGTACCATTCTACTGTTTTGATAGCATGATCTGATCGCATTTGTATGTCCCATTCAGCAGCTGTGGAGAGGTGCCAGTTACCCTGGCGAGGACTATGTTGTCCAACATCAAATCTAGTCATGAGATGGGGATGGCCTTTGAAAAGCCACATGTAAATATTTATTTTCAAAGGTACATCTGGCCCTTTGTAAAGCCTGGGTCACTTTAGTGGTTATCTTTTCAATGAATCATCAAATGAGAAGTCTGTTACCATATAACTTCCCCTTTTGTTTTAATAAGCTTCCACTGTCCTCTATCCGTGGCCCTTTTGGTTAAGAATCAAAACCATGTTAAATAATTTCATTTTCCTTTTTAGTTATAAATTAGTTTAATATGTCTAATTTGTCTGGATTATGGCCACACAGCTGACCTCACATAGGTTTGTTGTGCCTTACCCTGAGCTCAGAAATCAACTTTCCCATTTTTCTATGGGTCATGCATAAGTACCAGATGCTTCCACGCCAGTTAGGGTGACCCCTTTACACATCAAAGAAACCTTCCCTGTAACGGGTTTTTTCCTAAGAATGCATATCAAAATGTTAGTTTGATTTAAAAAAAAAAAAAACAGTTTTTTCACCTTTTGGGATTACTTGTCAAATTAAGTAAAAAGAAAAATCCATTAAAAAGCCTTTAGTAAGGTTTCTTAGAGCCAGAAGTTTGCCAAACTCTTGTATGGCCGTCCTGAATGATATTAAACTAATTAGTTTAGGATTTAACTAATAATTAAACTAATAGATTCAGTAGCTTAATTGTTTTAATTAATCATTTAAATCCACACATTAGTTTTATAAAATGACCCGTTTTCTGCAGCTGACAAATGCAGCTTCTGACCTTCTATGATTAGTATGTGCCAGGTTTGATAAATACAGAGGAATCTGGGAGACACAGAATCAAAGGTACTACTTCTATTAAATGCCCTCTTCTGAAAAAGAAAAGAAAAGAATCAGAAAAAAGAAATAAGAAACTCTATTGTGACACGTTGTGAGGCTTATGATAACTATGTTTGCCTTTCAGATCCCCAGCTCAAGGGTATAGTGACCAGGTTATATTGCAGGCAAGGCTACTACTTGCAAATGCACCCCGATGGAGCTCTCGATGGAACCAAGGATGACAGCACTAATTCTAGTAAGTGACCACCCAGGCCACCCGTTAACACCGTTGGTAGAAGATACGCTGCTACATAAATGATTTTTTGAACTACATTTACAAATATTTGTTACGTTGGTTTGTTGGTTCATTTTTACAAATGTTACACGCTAGGATGCCATTCACGATTTTACTTGGACCACATGGATGAAAACATGAACAGAGTAACATAAGAAGCCTGCCATTTTAAGATAATTAGTTTCTCTCTCTCTCTCTCTCTCTCTCTTTTTTCTCAAAACAATTGGCAGATCCAGCATTGTTGTTACTTTTATCTCATAAAAGTCAAGTAAGTACACTAGTGCATTCGGATGTAAGATGAATCTATGTTTACCTTGGGAATATTTTCATCAGGCCTTTAGCTTTTTAATGATAACTGGAAATTCAAGAGCTATAAGGATTAGTTGTTTCAAAGAATAGAAATGTAATTTTTCAAATTTGCATTCAACAAGAAAAGATAGTATCTCTTTTATAGAGAGGACATGAAGGCTCTGTGCCTTTAAATACATTGTACAAAATGTTTTACTACTTTACAGAATTGGGTCTGTAATGATTTGCCTTTAATTGAAAAGCCACTGACCCTCCACTGTATTAGTGTCTGTCTTCATTTTACTGTTTTTTAATATATTAACTCTTCTTTGTATTTTCATTCTGATGTCCCTCCTTATTCAATTGTCTGTGTTTTCTTTCCCATTTTCTGTTTATACTGGCATTGGATTCCTTTTAATTTAGCATATCAGTTCTAAAATAGACACTTTCTCCTGCGCAGGAGAATTAATGAAAAGCAAAAACTGATTTTATTGGAAATATTTTTCACATATTACTAGTGGATCAGGAATGGATATGAATCTTTTCATCCATTTAGCATTTACCCTTTATATATAGAGCACCATACCATGAAAAGAAGAGAGGATCTGAATACATAAGACCAAATTATAGGCACTTTCTGTTTTCAATTCTAGTAATCAAATTTTCAATAGCACGGAGAATAGCTAATAACATAAAGTAGACTGCTTTTCATTTGGTGTCGCTATGTGAAATGTCAATATTTTTCCAGCCATTGTGTTTACTTTTTAGACTTTGGATTTTAAATTTTAATTTAAATTCATTTTAAATTTTTGCTTCATTTTAAATTTTTCTTGCTTCATTTTAATTTTTTCTTTCAACTTTAAAATTTTTTCTGTTTGTCTGCGTTTTCCTCTCTTTCAATTTCTAATCTTTTTCTCTCTTTGTGTCTACTTTGTTGCCCTTTTGTCCTTTTAAACTTTTCCCTATCATATTTGTTCATTGATTTTTTTGTCGTTATTTCCTTCTTCTATTTAGAGAAAGAGAAGGTAAAGCAATTCAAACACAAGGAAGAAAGAGAAGTTATTTTTACTCATAAGACTGATTGTAAGCCATTGTTTAGTTGTTGGGATTTTGCTATCAGGTTGAACTTTTTAAAAGTATAAGGACTTGACCATCTTTGATCTGTAAAAATGTCAGTTTCTTCTGGTTCAAGCTAATACATGTGTGTCTGCTCATTTTCTTCTATCTTTAACTCCTTACCCATTCTTTGACAAAAGGCATTCTCTTTTTCTTATGTCTTATACTTGTGGGGGTCAAGGACTCTCGAGATTCAAAAGTTCTGATGTCTTCAATGTTCTCTGATTTCCTTCAGCCAAAGTCCAGGGGAGCGTGAGGACTAGTTTTCCATAACTGATCACTGCAAGAATTAGGACATTCTGATTTAGAGGCTGAAGCCATCCCTTATGACAAAGTTTTCAAGAAAGGAAATAAACCATAGCTATATGAAAATGCTGCTTAGTTGGACTTCTTAGAAAAATAATTTCTTTCAAAGGTTTTATGCACTTTTTCCTACCTCCTTCTTTGGTTTTTGTAATGCCAAACAAGTTGGTTGTTTTTAATGATGGAAATCAATACTGAATTAAGAAGTGTTAGGTAGACACTGTCTTTTACATCATATTGCTTCAGAACTCAATAAGCAGCACAATATTTTCTAAACTGTGAAAGTGCAGATGTAGACATTATATGCATACACACGTAATTATATCTGGTTATCTGAACCATATTCAACACTACACTGGAAAGCTGAGATGCTGAAAGAGACACAAACCTTCTGTTCTCTAAATGTGTGAGGTTTCTTTTCTCCTGCTGTGTAACCGTATTAGAAGGAACAAGAATCTTGGGGCAACACTTGGAATCCTTTCTAATCCCCCTAAATGCTGGTGAGGACTGAAGAGGGAACAGGAGCTCCTGTGTCCAAGCAAACCAGAACCAAGTCATAGCGCCTGAACTCAAGGGGCACTATGTGCCTCAGCTGCTTTTCTTACAAGTTGTGTTGCATTTTATGTGCACGTTTAGCTAGTTAGGTTAGTTTTGTTACCATTTCAACATTTGCAAAGACATAGCAGAAGAGAGCAAAACAGGGTGAGGTAAAGATTCTCTTCTCAAAAGCCTATAAAAATTGTATGACTCTAAAATTTAATAAAACTTGGTGGGACTACAGCAGGTTTATAAAAGTCATGAGAATTACTAATTAACTCGACTTTTGGGTACCATCACCTTTGCAATTGAAAACCATAGTTTTTTTTTTAGGTGAAATTTAAGATGATTTCCTTTTCTCTGGTTCATTACAGCAGTCTTATGAGTCTTGAGAAAATCATAAGCCGTGAACAGTATTCTATAAAAAGGGGAGGAGCACTAGAGATGCTGGCAGGAAGGTCTTAATGGGAGCATTGCCCTTTTGGTTTGCATTAGGGTGTGATGTAGTAATTTATGCATGCATTCCAGATTTTTGATAATTCTTTGAATACAAAACAAGGATTAGTCATCTGTAAGTAGGAAAAATAAGGAGAAATGCCGTAAAAGTCGCCATGATGCCACCCTAAAAGTTACCAAATAACAAAACTGAGGCTTGAACCTTCAGATCTTTGTGATGAGTTGGACACATACCACACAACTAAACACGAGCTTATTTAGAACTAGGTAAAGTCAGAACCACCCTACTAAGCTGCCTTTGTCAAAAATTTTCAGATGAGTGGAGAAGAGAGAGAAAGGCCAGCAAGCAGGTGAGCCCGACACTAAAGTCCTCCCTGGGTTTTCCAGCCCGAGATCTAGAAATCTCTGGGAGGAAAAGTGGCAAGATGATGGTTGATGATGGATGATTGGTCCAAACAGAGAAGATACTGTAGCAACTTGACTGCTTATTATTGGCTTCCATGTGCCCTGGAGAGATCTTTCCCAGGAAAGAAATGAGCACCCAGATTACTACATCACCAGACTCATTTTCAGGGGTATATTCGTTTAAAACTCTTAGAGCTTCCTATCTATCTACTAAACGTTAGCATTACCATGAACCATGGCATTTGATTAAGGAGTAATTTTCTTTCCCCCCAGTTGCTTTTGGGGATGCCATGAGGTTTTCCTGTGCTCTTAAACTTAATTGCTCCCATTACCAGACTTAATAAAAGCTACAAGTGGAATAGGACTATAGAAATATCAATATGCCAGTAACTATGGCAATATTAGAAACTCACATGAACCAAGCCCTCTCATCTTAGAAATTCCGACCTGATAATTTGATGTGTAAAAATTGCCCATCGCTCACTGTGACCACCACCCCCACAGGCCTTGGGATGGTGGTTTTCACTTTGGCTGTACTTTAGGGTCATTTGAGGAGCTTTAAAAAAATTCCTTATGCCCTAAACCCTAACCTCACTTCCAGAGATTCTTACTTAATTTAATTAGTCTGCAATTGGGCATGGCTGTCCTCTTTTATGAATACAGCTAGTTTTTAAGTATAGCCAGGGTTGAAAATTACTATTATATGGAAAACTAGAGTCCCACAGAACAAACAAAGTAGCATGAGCATCTTATTCTGACTCCCCTAGGCTTTGTGACACCGCTTTATAATTATATAAAATACAAAAGGAATGGAAAAATATGATGATGTCTCAATCAATGTGGGTATCTGTAGTTTTAATTAGCACCATGGATTCATTATGGTCAGCTCTGAACCGGCCTCCACATGACAGTGGTTATATGAATTCACTTTGTATTATCATTCTGTAAATGATAATAACTGAGATTTTATAATTCAGATCCCAACAAAATCCTAGAAAAAAACACTATTTTTTGTATGGTCATTTTAGACTATCATTTATAATTTTTCTCTTTCCTATACCACATTGTTCTGGTGACTTCATATGTTCTTACTTTCTAGAATTATAACATCTGGCCTATATCAGATATATGGCACCTATAAAGACCATTAAGAGTATGTAAAGATTAGAATAATTAAGTTTGAATGGGTTAGGTTAGAATAGTTTTCAAGGACAGTCATGCAATTATGTTTTTCTTCTAAAACTTTTGCATATCAATCAGAAATTGTTCTATGGTGCCCATCCTTTCAAAATATAAGGGAGATGGGACAGTTCAGGTGTTCAGTCAAAAGTGGAATTGGCCATACTGCTCAATGATTCCCACTCATGTTTATTATTCAAGTAATAGAAGTGAGCAAGCATAAGCCTCATTCTTCCATAACATAAGCCCCTAGAATCCCATGGAAGATGGCCCAATATTAGTTTGCTTCGTGAAAGCTAGTAGCCACTGAACCATATACACTCTGAGTATTCCTATAGGGATAATTATCTACGGCCATGGCCCGCCGTGTTCCTTTCATCACAGACATCTTGAGATCTTGGGATCAGTAACATATAATAACTGAAAGAGAAGGTATAATTTTCCCCAGCCTATCTGACAATGCGTGTGGTGCCTCAGAATTAAATAGAAATGAATTTATAAAGTCCATTTTTAATTATGTGCTGAGTAGACCCATAGATTGAAGTCAACATGGCCCACGTTTTCCCAATTATTTGTCTTTTGTGGAATACAGTTGAGAACCTAAACCTCAGGTATTTTGTTTACTTGTTCACTTCAGCATCTCAATGCTGTCGTTGTGTGTTTTGGCCTGGTACAGCTGCTTGGAATTAGTCTTCAATTAAGACATTGAATGGGAGCAGATAAGAGCACTGTGGATAATTAACTTCTCTTATAAACGTATCTACACTAAAGTCCCCCAAACCATCAAGCAGTTATTACTAAGAATGGTGCTAGAATACCTACTGAAGAGTTAACATATAACCCTGGCATGGAAATGTGTTAAAGGAATGTTAAGACTTTTTAAGAAATCAATGATAACATTACTCTCTGTACTATGTAAAAAATATATAAAAATATTTTCCTTGTCGATAAGGGAAGAAACGGAACATGGGACTATAAGTGAGTTTTTATCTCTTAGATGGGTAAAATTGAACACTTTTCCCTCTTTTATTTTAGTTATCACTCACAGCTCTATGAGATATTAGTAAAGAAATGTCTCTCTAAAATGTTCAGTGTGATTAGTTCTTTCTAAATTGAGCACATTGGCAGGCGCACATCTTTTCTGGGCTCTGCTGGCATCTCATATTGGTTCAGCAAGAGTAATTCCATTTTGGAATTACCTTTTTAACTTCTGGCCTGTCCTACATTGCAGTGATAAAGCACACCTTCTGCATGAAAGACCTGAATAAGCATTCAACTTGGACTTCTTAAATTCCACTCTTTGAGAATCTTCACATCTGATCTCTTTTGGTATCAAATGATGTCAAAGACTGTGATCCTGGAATTGGGATTACAGACCTGATTCTGTTTATTAGTCTATCACTTCTTTGAAATGCTATAGGCAGACCATTAAGGTGTACAAATTGAAGCTCAAGTGCTAATTTTACCCATTGCAGAAACATCTTAATTATAAAGAGAAATAAAAGTTAATTGGAACTTCTCAGAAGGTTGTAACAAAGATGTTGTTGTTGTTGTTGTTGTTGTTGTTGTTTTAAATAAAAGAATGAGGGAGGGAAAAGCGATGGCAAGGCTTTGCTTCTCCAGGTCCATTTGTGACAGGCTATGTTTATCTTTACAGCACTGTTCAACCTCATACCAGTGGGACTGCGCGTTGTTGCCATCCAGGGAGTGAAGACAGGGTTGTATATAGCCATGAATGGAGAAGGTTACCTCTATCCATCAGTAAGTAACATGCCAAAGATATTGGCCATTCATTCAATGCTTGCAGTAGCAGCAACAACAAAATGAAAAGGATCTGTGTCTATTGATTCTGCCACTTTTGCTTTAATATTTGATCTCTACTACAATGCTGTAAGGGCTATTGGTTCATTATTCATCAATGTTTGATAATAACAGTATATCAAGCAGAAGAGAAATATTACCTCTTAAAGTTGTATATTTGCATATTTTTAAAAAATGAACTAGTTTGTAGAAAATTGAGTAATTTTGAAAGAGTTGATGTTAATCTTTTTTATTTCTCTTTAGAAATGTACTTGTCTTAGAGAGTTTCTTGTAAAAGATTATTTTGTAAAAAGAAACAGAATTAATGTGAATTCTAAAAAAGAAAATTTAAAGAGAGTAGTTCTTTTAAAACTAGGAATTTAGGTTGTGTTAATGTTTTACTGGGGAAAATACTTCTATTATAAAATGTATATTGCAGAATTTAAATCTAAGTAAGTCTTCTGTTTTGTGTTAATGTATATGAGAAGTTGAGCACATTTTTATCCATATGACTTCTGGAATATTTACTATTTACAAATAATTCATATTCAGACGTGCTGTATCCATACATTATAGTGTAGTTAGAATTAATTTCTGCCACAGAACCAAGCAATAGAGACCTAGATGAACCTATCCTTGGAGCAGAAATTGACAGGTTAAATTCATGGTGCCTCAAAGAAAAATGTTCTTATTTGGGTTTGCATGCCATCTTCATATAAATTCTTTAAAACTCTGTTGTGGGAAATATTATCATCAAAAAACTACATGTAAACATATATACGGACATTATACACACACACACACACACACACAACTTAAGCAGAAACATTCCCTGGGGCATTTTCTTGAGCAAATCTGGGAAATCCTATCAAAGAAAATGAAGTTCGAGCGGCGAATTCCCTCTGCGGTGAGCTGGAAAATGTTCTTGTTATTCTGGAAGCTTCATCTGAGTTCCCTGAAGGGTGTTCTTGCACACACACCTGGGCCCCACATTAGGCAAATTGTGTTCTGTTGCACAAGATGAATATTCAACATACCAAGAGCAAGATCCAGCTAGAATTCCCTGCCCACCCCCCCGGCCCGCCGCCTTTTAGGAAAAATATGATTCAGATAAAGATCACTTTCTGGAGATGCCTCCATTCAGATACAAGTCAATTTTATTGATTTGACATTTGTTCTGTTATTTTTGTTTCTTTCTTTTCCCTCAGGTAATCTTTGAGATGTTTAAAAATTATTAGCTGCAGCATCCGCCATAGCTTCTGGTTCTCAGGTCCTGTTAAGGATTTTATCACATTGTTTGTTGTGCTCTGATACATGTGTTGATGTCAGGGGACATGGGAATGTTTATTTTATCTTTTTGCTACTGAGGGAGGTGCTTCCTATTTTTTGTGGTGAGGTAGCACATGTATACCTTTTTTCTTTTTTTTAAGGTAGGGAAATCATCTTGAGCGTGTGGCAGGAATAGAAGTGAGGAAGGCACTAATGCCCAGTCTATGCAGTCTATGCAGCCTCCCGCCCAGGTATCAGGTCTCAGGAGGCTAGCTGGGGGTGACACCATTGGCCCCTGGATTTGTCTCAGTAACAACTTCAGGCTTGTTATTGACCCGTCCATTCTCTACTCTCACCTCCCCTGGTTCTCCAGTTCTTTGACATCTGGGCCTCCCTTCTGGTGGCTTGATTCCTGACTTATAGATGTTGGCTTTCTTCTCTTCCCATCTTGATTCTGCTTTGAATCCAGGATCTGGTAAAAGGCACTCTATCTGCCCATCCCCTACCCTGAGAGGTCCCACTGCCTATGCCAGGCCCTTACAATCCTCAGCCATCTCATAGGAAAAGGATTTAGATACAAACCAAATGCAATTTCCAATCTTTACTAATACCCCATAGTTAAAGTGCTTTGTTTATTTCAACGTAATGAAATGTGAACTTCAAATATTTCAGTAAAAAGAATATACTTTTATAGTCATTTATTTCATAATTAGTGAGTGTTTACTAGAATAATAATATAGCATAACAGAATATAACATTTACTATACTATATAATAATAATAGGTCTACTTATGTAATAATAATAATAATAATGGCTAGTATTTATATAGTACACTCTGCCCAACACTGTTCTAAGCACTGTACAGTCTTACCTCATCTAATTCTATTAAGCAAATACTATTAAAACAATCATACTGGGGCATCTGGGTGACTTAGTTGGTTGGGCATCTACCTTCTGCTCAGGTCATGATCCCAGAGTCCTGGGATCAAGTCCCAGGATAGAGTCTTGGGATCGAACCCCGCCTGCTCAGCGGGGAGTCTGCTTCTCCTGCCCCTCACCTCGGTCATGCTCTCTCTCCCTCCCTTTCTTTCTCTCTCAAATAAATAAAATTTAAAAAATAAATCTTAAAAAAATAATCATACTGATACACAGAGAGTTTAAAAATCTGTGCAGTCTGCCAGTTAGTAAATAGAGAAGGCAGGATTTGAGCATTATTAGTCTGACTCATTAGCTTACTGTTTCACTATACTATTTCCATGCGCCAGACATTTTTCATCATATGGTCTGGCACCTATTCTAACAAGAAGTTATAAACACATGATGATGTAATGAAAACCTTTAAGGAATTGTTACCTAGGGTACAAATTTCATTTCAGTTATTAAGAAGTATAATTTGAAACATAATCCCTTTCCTTTGGAGATTCTCAAATTTAAAAAAAAATCATAGAAAATTACATCTGGGAAAAGTTTGATGTTATACACTGTTATATACTGTTTAAGATTCTGAAAATTTCTTACATGTAACACCTGCAATTTAAATTTAAAAACCATGCCAAACATAGTTAACTCAACTAAGAAGTTTTGAAGTAAGTTGAGGAGCTTTAAAAGGAAAACCTCAGTCAACCTCAGGTTTAAAAAAAAAAAAAAAGTAATAAAGACTTAAGTCCTGAAAATGAAGGAATCTGTTTTAAGCTAATGCCCACTTTAAAAAGATCAACGTAATGTTTGCATGTTATAAGCCAGCGCCTAATATGGGACCAATTTTTTTGAGGATCCGTAGGTTTAGAAGGTAGGCAATAAAACACTCGGATCATTCAAAATGAATTCTGTTGAATGAAAAACACATCAGTGTTTTGACTCAAGGTGCATATTTCTCTATTTGCATTGGAAGTAAATCTCATAAGCCCCTGCCATCCAAATAAAGATATTCAATTTGTCAGATAATTTCACCTGGGGTGGGGGTAAGGGGGGGGGGACAAAAAAGGTATCTTGTCTGAAATGTAAATAACCACAGTTCTGAGGCTGAAGGCACATGTTCCCCATGGAATCTTTCCTTTGAAATGACAATAGTCATTTCTTGTGTGGTCATAATGATTCTAATATGTTCCTTGAAATGTATCTCAAGAGATTTAATGTCAGATATCAACAATTTGGTCAAAGGTAGAGCACAGGATGCAAGGTCGTCGAACAGAAACTGACAAGGAAATACTTATGTTAAAGAATTAGTTCAATATGATGCTTGGGAAAAATTGTATTTTGACCAACTATAAACTGTCTATAGTGCTGTGGGGAGCAATTTTTTTTCCCAACAACCTGTGATTTTGAAAGACTAAGAAAATCCTCCATAGAGAGACACGGTTTGAATGTAAATTCTGAACTCTGAAGAAAAACTTAGGATGAAGGGAAAAGGGTATTCATCATTTGGGCAAAGAGAAAGAAGAGTTGAAGTCGGAATGTGTTTCTGATATGAGCAAAGAAAAAGGGGAGGGGGAGGAAGGAAAAAAAGAGATTGATGGTGGGTAGAGCCCTGGGCTTGCTTGGAACACCTGGGTCCCGGATCCTGCCAACACCTGTGTTGTCATGCCCCCAACTCTGCCTCTCAAACTTCTCATCTGTAAAATTAAAAAGTTTCCCGGGAGGCTTTAAGTTAATTTGGGGGTTGAAACTTCCAGTTTTAGTCTGATTGGTTTTTTTGAATGATAAGGTAATCGACATACGTAAGATGTATAAAGATCCATTATTGTTGTCTTACCACGGGCTGACATTTATGAGAATATTATATTCCAAATGGTGCTGTAAATGTTTCTGTTACCCACATGCAGGCATCTGGGGAGGCAGTCAGCCCTGGTGTTCTCCCGAGATTAATATTTCATCTGAGTTTCTTAACCAAGTGATACAAGTAGAGAGGAAGGCAATCCTTCTTCATGCGGGTTTTTTAAATGAATCAAAAAAGTACACTGCTACTGTGTTTTGTAAATATTTGGGCTCATTAGAATCACCTGGAGGGGCGCCTGGGTGGCTCAGTCGTTAAGGGTCTGTCTTCCGCTCAGGTCATGATCCCAGGGTTCTGGGATCGAGCCCCGCATCGGGCTCCCTGCTCCGCGGGAAGCCTGCTTCTCCCTCTCCCACTCCCCCTGCTTGTGTTCCCTCTCTCGCTGTGTCTCTCTCTCTGTCAAATAATTAATAAAATCTTTAAAAAAAAATCACCTGGAAAGGAGGTAAAGGCAGATTCCTTGGATCAGACTCCAGATATTTCAATTCAGTAGATCTAGGAGGAGCCCCAGGAACCTACAGTTTAATAAGGATCCCCTACTGCCCCTACCTGCCCACTGGTGGATGAGTCAAAAGCCCATAGCCTGACAATCAACAGTGACACAGCGAACATTACAATGGCTGGTGGGGGAGAGGATGGTAGCTTTAGACCAAGGTAGTAAGAGTAGAGTTGGTGGATAGACTACCTAGGCACAGAACCCAACCTAAGTACTTGGTGTTCCTAACGTCCTCTGCCCCTAAGTTGAAGTTTACAGAAACGTGAAGCAGTTCTGTAGGCCTCTTCACTAATGCAGCAACCCAGCTATCAATACGCAATGAACGTGGGGCAGGGGGAGGGATGAAACAGCCTTTAATTCAGGAAAATAAGGAAAATGCTGTATATTCTGGAAAAAGCATGTTCAAGAACCTCAAAGTCTTA